ATCAATATTTAATTATATTTATTATAATTAAATTTTATTTAAAAATAAAATTACTAAAAAGAATAAGTTATTTTTATTAATTTATTATTATTTTATAAATTTAAGTATAATTTAAATATAATTAAATTTTTATTTAAAACAAAGCTTCAATTAATTAAAAAAATATGTACTTTAAAATTTAAAAAGAACAGCTTATAAAATACTTATAATATTTAGTATCACATGATTATTGTACTGAAGAAAAAGAATATTTGATATAAAATACTTATTAAATTTGAAGATCCTGATTTTAATATTTATATTTATTATATTTATTATATTTTATCTTATCTATATAGTAAAGTTAAATTAGAATTTTGTATTAATAGTTTTGTAGTTTAAACTTAATTTGTGACAAAGTTTTTAAATTTTTTAGATAGGATCTAGATTATAACTCTTTAATTTAATAATAAAATTTTTATTTAAACTTTTAACTTCTTTATATCTTTATCAAATATTTTAATCATGATACTTAATTATACAAGTAAAGCATAATAAAGAAATTGTAAGATCTATAACTGGAATTGAATTATACTCTGAATAAATTATCTTTAAGTTTGTTGAAAAACATTTATTATATCAAATTTAGCTCAATCATTTATCAAGTATTCAGCCGTTGCGTTGACTCTACTCTAATGGTTGGTTGTTCTTGATAGTAAAGGATTAAAGATATATTATTTTTTGGACAATTTTACATAATCTTTTAATTTGAAACAGAAATGCTATATGTTATATTATATTGTAAATACCACTTATCAAACTATCTTTATCAGATTATTTTAAACAATTATATATTGGAATATTGATTTACATCTTCAATTAAATCTGTAATAACAAAAAACACATTCTTATTGTGGTATTGAGAATTATTTAGGAAATAAGGATCTCGCATAGTTTGGATATTCCATTACAGTAAATGTTATTTATTATAGATTATCTATTATTACGAAGGTCGATTCGTGTTTGGAAGATAATCGAAAGAGTAAATCATATGTTCAATCGCAAGAAAGCTTATTTATTATCATAAATGGTAACCAAATAGATATTTTATGATAAATTCTGAATATAATTGTAAATGGAAATTAATGCCTGGAACAAATCAAACATTTCTTCGATTCTTATGAAGTATAAAGGAGTTGTCTATAAACAACCATTACAAGAATTCAATAGTAATTCAAAATTACAAATAGATTCAAAATAAATTTTATTTACCCTTTCCCACTTTCTTTTATATCTTCACAACTTTAAACGTAAAACACATTCTATGTAAATCGATATTCTAACAAATTTTATTAAAAAAAAAAAAAAAAATTGAAATTGACATGTCTGAAGTAGGCGAAATTAACTCTCTAGCTTGGGATAAAGTAATTTATTTATAATTTTCATTTCTCGCTCAAGTTATAAAAAATTAACTATCGTGTCATTTAGTTGATAGAAGAAGTTAATTGGTTGCGAGAAGCTTATACTCATAAATGTTCCGAGGTTGGATATCTTAGTGGAGTAGCAGATCGTATGAAATGGTTACGTGACCAAAGCCGTGAACAAATTACGTCGTTAAAAGTTCAAAATGAGCATTTAAAGGAAGAACTAGAAGAGGTAATTTTTTAAACACATAAAGTAAAAAAAATATTTGACATTTTGATTCAATAATTTATTTAGTGTGAGTATCTTCGTAAAAAGTTGATTGAGCAAATTAATGTTGAACCAAAGGCTACCAAAAAGGTTTGATCCAGTTTACCTTTTTTTTTTTTGCAAACATGCGAATGGATATTTAACGAGTCCTCGTTTAAAATGTAAAACAAAAATGTTTCGAAGAAAGCATTTGGCAAGGTTATCGATAATATTTTTGAGTATTTAAATTACTAATATAAACTTTATATTAGAGTTTCAGAACTTTTCCACATGGCAAATCAAATAACTCAGTAGAACAATCACCATCAATATCCACCAGTTCAGTTTGGTTTGGTTCATTTGTATAAAGAGAAATTATTAAAACTTGTGTTTAATTATAGCGACATAATAAGATCAACGGAGGTCTATCTTTTAAACCTCAAGAAAAATAACAACAATGGAAATGAATATAATATAAAAATGAAAGCAATAAGAATGATAATACGGAATCATTAGTTCAAACAATTGAAAAATAAAAAAAAAATAATAAAATCATCGCAAAATCACACAATTTTTTTAATGTATAGTTGAA